CCTTGTCGACTTATTCGAGCATCATAGCGCTGCAGGACCGAAAGAGTAGCTCGGCGCCCACAGGACCCGTGCAGCAGGGTTTTAAGGAAGGGCGTGGAGATCGTGACGAGGTCCCAGCGGCTAGAATTTCAATAGGAATAGAATCCGCTAGAATTTCATCCAAAATCCACTAGAATTTAATTTTATCCGCACGTCGAACAGCGTAGGTGAACGCCCATTAACGTAGATCTAAGTACAATACGATTTTGCCAAGCTGATATGCTTCGGCTCCTGCACCACTACGCTGCATTGGCCAGTGGTCCCTCCAACACCTATGGCAACCTCAAACTGATTACGTAGATGTGTCGACGAGTTTGGAATAGCGATTGCGATAAATCCACAAAGGTAATGATGATATGCATGACCAATCATTGCAAAGTGGCGACGGGTTGTGCCGAATCAACAACGAGATTTTAGTCTTTCTGCACGAAATGTCCTACAACCCGCGCCACTTCAACTAATAGCGACACCGCGCGCCTCGTACCCACCGGCATTTTTCGATGCTCCGCCTCAAGTCGACACTCGCGGCGCAGCCGCCCAGTCTGCCCGTCGCGCCCGAGAGTGGCCTCTGGCCGCTGCGGTCGAGCTTTGCGTTCTTCGCCAAGGACGATGGCTTCCGCCTCCGCCACGAGCGCTTCGATACGCTGCACAAGCTGCTCGGCCCGATCTACAAGATCCGGTTCCTTCCGCTGCAAAAATATATGGTGACCATCGCCGACCCGGCCGCCGTCGCGCAAATCTACTGGCACAAAGGCCCGATGCCGCAGCGGCGCGTCAACCCCACATGGAAGGTCCACCGCGACGCGCGCCAATGGCCGATCGGCTCGGTCAACACCAACGAGTTTGCCGAGTGGAAGCGGTTCCGTCGCAGCCTCAGCGCGCACGTGCTCCAAGCGCACAACGTCGCTGCGTGGCTCCCCCGGCTCGACGATGTGGCCCAGGACATTGTCGCGCGCATCCGCAGCCAGGCGGTAACAGACAATAGCGTCCCGATGACGCGTGTGACGCAGGCGTATGCGCTCGAGGCCGCGAGCGCGCTCGTCTTTGGGCGGCGCATGGGCTGCGTCTCGCGCGACCACTTGACGCCGATCGACGCCGAGGCGCAAGCGTTCATCGGCGCGGTCGACGGCTTCGCGGCCATGACGCAAGTGCTCGGGCGCGTGCCGCCGTTCGTGCCGCACTGGGCGTACCGGTTTCTGCCGTCGTACCAGGCGTTTGCAGCGCACTCGGACGTGATCTTTGCTTTGGGCGAGACGCGCATGCGGCAAAAGATGGCGTCCACAGAAGAGACGGACCCGGATCTGCTCAGTATGTTCTTGGCGCGGCCCGAGCTCGACGAGCGCGACGCGATAGCTCAGGCCGTCGACGTGCTCCTGGCGAGCGTCGATACGACGACGAACGCGCTCTTGTGGACGCTCTACCTCCTCGCGTCGTCGCCCAACGGCCGCGCGATGCAAGAGACGATCCGGGACGAGGCCAACGCGGCCTTGGGTGGCAACGCCAGCTTTGATGACGCGGCGCTGGAAAAGGTCTCGTATGTACGAGCGGTCGTGAAGGAGGCGCTGCGCTTGTACCCAGTCGCGAACCCCAACCAGCGCTACCTGACGAGCGATCTGACGCTGCTGGGGCACAAGATCCCGGCGGGCACAAGCGTGCTCGTAGCCACGTACACGATGAGTCGCGACCCAAATGTGTTTGAGAACCCGACTGCGTTCGTGCCCGAGCGCTGGATGAACAAGGCGAGCAACCGCCAAGCCGCCGCGTATTCGACGCTGCCGTTCGGGATGGGCGCGCGCAGCTGCGTCGGGCGGCGCTTGGCCGAGACAGAGATGTACTTGCTCCTCTCGCACCTCTTGCGGACGATGGAGGTGAGCTGGATCGCAACAGAGGCCCACCCCAAGGCGGTCATTCATTTGCTCATGACGCCAGAGACGGAACTTACCCTTCGCTTTCAGCCGTGGTAAACCAGTGCAACCAGATACGTTTTGGGTTGCCATCGATATTCACAAAAGAGCCAATCGGAGCCGCCGAAATATAGATCGACCAATGGGATATCGCGATGTTTTAGTTTGGAGCGTAGTATTGCGTCGAGGTGGGGCCGTGGGCGTTGTTTCGAAGGTCATAGAAGTATAGTCGGGCTACGGCATTACACTAGATGCAGCGACTAGGATTTTGATAGTCGATACCACGCTATAAAGATGAGTCGTTCAAGGACAAGAAGCGCGAGTTTGGTCTCTGAGAACCTTTGTTTCCGAGACAAATCCCGGGCATGCCAAGTACGCAAAGTCTTGGGGCGACGCGTGCAGTATGTCCAGTCGCGCATGCTCTCGAAAGGCCAAGGCGCTTGGTGACACTTGAACGAGCACCAAAGATCAACTGGCGCTCTGGATGTGTTTAAAACGTGTTTTATACTCCGGCGGGGATTACGCGTGGGTGCATATCAGGCAGGCGACGATGGCCGAGGACCTGCGCCGGCTCGAACACGTGCGACTGCGCAACCGCCTCAAGCAGCAGCGCCACAAGGCGCGCTACGTCAACGAGCGCGACCTGCTTCGGGACCAGGTCGAGCACATGACGCAGCTCGTCACCTCATGGCGCACGCACCCGCGCCTGACGATGCTGTCGTGGCGCGATACCGCGACGGGCCTCAGCGACGCCGCATCCGAGGCGCAAGCGACGCTGCACGAGCTGCGGCGGCAGCACCGCGTCATGACCGACACCGTGCGGAGTGCCTTGTCGCTCGCGGCTTCGATCTCGCGTCAAAACAACGTGCCCGTACAGATCTTATCCTCTCTAGTATGTACGCATCATCAGCGTCCTAGTCGCTAGCTCAAGACTTTGCGTGGGCGCGCACGACGCTGCTTATGGATCCGACCGCGCGGCGCCTTGGCCTCGACTGGTTCACGCAGCACATGTATTTCAACACGGACCGGATGCTATCGCGGGGCGGGTTTCCCAGCGTCGGGTCGTTCGCCGACGTGCTCGTGCAGGACTGCGGCAACGACTGCGTCGACGTCTTTGGCCGCGTCCAAGTCGAGTACAGCGTCGCACTGGAGGCTGCGTATACGTCGTTGGCGCCGCGCATCTGGAGCGTCCTCCGAGGCGATGCGATGGCCCACGCGTCTCAAGTACTCGACACCGACGTACGCTCCAACTAAACGTTGGATTTTTGGTATATTTGCGTGCGTCTAGATCACGGCCGCGATCGACCCGAGCATGGTCTACCGGCGGTACGCCGTGAGCGGCGACGACTCGCGGTATTATGCGGCCCGCGAGTTTCGAACCGCCGACCGCATCGTCTTCTTGCTCGGCAACATGGCGCAGGACGAGCTGCAGCCGACCAGCGCGATCTGGCGGCCGCGTCGCTTCTGGTACGAGGCGTCCAGAATCTAGATCTGAGTCGTCGTAGGTTTGTCTTGGAGCGACAGGGCGTCGATCGCTGCCGCGTTCGCTTCATGTGGTACAACGGACCGTACGTGGTCCACGGCAGCGCAGTGCCGTGGGATCGGCACATTGCGCTCACGGAGCACGAGTACGGCGAGGTTATTGGCACGTCTTTGAGTCGCCACCACTTCCAGGCCTACCTCCGAGACAAGTACAGCGCCGAGGACCACGAGTTGCTGGCCTTACCCGACGACGTGTCAAAGTAGGCGTTGAATGTGAACATCAAAATCAAAACGTGCGATTGAGTTTGTTACCCACGGAAGCGAGCCGTAAGCACGAGGGACAGCGCAATCTCAAGAACCAGAATTCCGGCAAAGACAGGCCAATGGTACGGAACCGCAACAAAGAACGAGACGAGCACGAAGATCGGCAGCGGGACGGCGACCAATGTGCTCGCCATCAAGTCGCGCTGGGCGTGCGACCACGTCCGGCAGAGGAGGAGCACTGCGGCCGCGTCGACACCGCGTTCCAGCGTCACGGTCTGGAGGCGGCGGCTAGCAGTGGCGACCTGCAGCACTTCGCGCGTCGGGAGAAGCACCGAGATGGTCGCGTTGGATGAGTAGAAGCGGCCGGCGATCCTGAGCGCAGACCCGTGGTCGTCGAGGCGCCACGTATGCGTGAGCGTCAACCAGCTCCAGCCCGTCGTGTTGACAATCTCTGCGGGCTGGGCCAAGAGCGCGCTCTCGACGAGAAAGGTCTCGTCGGACGTGGAGCAGACGCCTGTTGTGCGGCGCAAGGTCGCGACTTCATTGCCCTCGGCGTCGCGGAGAGTCTTGCGGCTGTAGACGAGGCTCTGCTCCTGCGCATCGTCGGCAAAGCTCAACGTCGCCTTGGCCGCGAGCACGAACCGCGCGTCTAGCACAGCGACCGACACGGCGGGCGCGCTAATATCGACTGCGCACCGCATGATGAATGGCGAAGTGGAGCAATGCCCTTGCGTTCGATAGCTCACGTCCATGCGCAACATCCATACACAGCTGCTTGCGTGTGGTTGTGAGCAGTGCAATCCACGTCCGCGCACATTGTACACGTATCGTACCTCCACCGATGTCAGCGTAGATGCCATCGCTCATTAGAGTAGCTAGAATAGTCGCTCCGCGCCCATGCCCTTTGTATCAATCGAGGGGTAGGGTAACCGCTTGAATTTTACGCAACCATTTGTTAACATAACAGTTAGAGCCAACTACTGCAGCACGTCGTAGCCATCGCGTCGTTTCTGCTGCGTGAGAAGCGCATGGAGGCCCAGCGCGAGGCAGGCGCCCATGACCATGTAGCCGACGACTTCGATGACATTGGTGCGGCTGGTCGTGGGCGGCGCGTCCTTGGCGCTGATGGTTTCGCCGGTCCCAGTCGAGATCTGGATCGTTTTGCCGTTCGCCGGGTCGGCGTACGACGCGCCGGGCCACCCGTTGAACTCGGTGGCCGAGAGCCACGCGCGGCTGTACCCAGGCGCCGACATTTTGCCCGGCCCCTCGCCCGTGACGATGTAGCCGCAGCTGTACTTGGCGACGAGCTGCCACGCGAGCGCCCACCAGTGCGCGACGACGCTCGAAGCGAACGTGTTGAGCTTCTCGGTGACATCCGAGGTCGAGAGCGAGGTGTTGCTCCGGAGCGAAGCCACGAGCGCGATGCCGTCGGCTTCGAGGCGCGTCGCATGCGAGAGCACTTCGCCGTTGATCGTGTTCCAGCGCAGCATGCTCCACTGGTTGACAAAGTTGAAGGCCCACCACGCCGAGTCCGTGCTAAAGACGCTTTGGTTGCCCGTCGTGTACGAGATTGGGAGCGACGACTGCGTGGGCGACATCGGGACAAACACCGAGCCGTGCGGACTGTCTTGGCAGTACCACGCGGTCGCCCGGAGCGACTCCGAGACGTTGGTCGACGGCGCTTGGATCTGCAACACGAACGCAAACATGGTGCGGTACATGGAGATCGACCGCTCCCAGCCGCCCGAGACGTTGAAGAGCGGGCCGTCAAAGCTAGTTGCGAGTTGAGATTCTCGCTACAATTTGAGTTGCACGTACCGAATTGGGTTGCCAAAGGGACCGGCGCCGAGACCACGCGTCATGTCGTACGGCGTGCCCTCGTAATGGTCGCGCATGAGCCGAAACACCGTCGTGAGGTTCACGGGGCGGTCGGGCTTGACGCTAAACGGGTACGTCATCTCGGTCGCTTGCCAGCCCAAGGTCGCGTCGAGCTGCAACGACGGCGCCACGTAGTCGAGGACGCGCCAGAGACGGCGCCCAGCGTAGAGCGGCAAGAGCGAGCCCGCGTACCCGGTCACGTCGCCCCAGCTGTAGGCGGCCGTAAAGTCAAACGGGCCTGCACCACGCAATTAGCTTTGAGTAGAGAGCGCTCGCATACCGTCGGCGGGGTTGTACCAGCCCATTTCGGTCGCGAACGAAATGACGTTGGGCGACGCGAGGTAGTTGGCCGTGTCGTTGAGGTCCATCTCCCGGATCGAAAAGGCGTTGGCGAGCACGGTCACGTGGCCGTCAGGCACGCGCTGCGCCGCCCAGACCGCAGACGCGTTCTTCGGGCCCGTGAGTACGTGGAAGATCCACATCTCGCCGTACTTGTCCGAGATGCCGAGGCTCTCGGCCGAGTCGCAGTACATGGGCGCCTACGTACTTCCATGAATCTCCATTCAGATGCGTATTTGTATACCTTGGGATTGCCGCTGTCTTCGCTGTAAAAGCCATGCTTGACCGCGAGGTCGCCCATGGTCGTGATCGCACAGCGCGCGCTGTCGCAGCGCTCGAGCGCAATCTTGGTGAGCTCGCCGATGCCCATCATGTTGAAGCCGTAGGGCACGTCGCTCGGCCACCCGACCGTCTTGGCCGGGCACGTGCTCTCGGCGATGCTCAGCGACACTTCGTTCATCATGCCATAGTCTTGGTCAAAGTACGCGTACGTGTGGGCCACCTGCGGAATCGACCCCAATGGCTTCATGAGCACCTGGCCCTGCGTCGGCTCGTACAGCGGTCCGCGACCCATCGACGTGATGCGCGGGTAGCCGCCATACACGTTGTACACGTCGCGCGTCGCATTGGCCGCGTGGTCCATGGCAGGCACCCGGACGAGGCGCGTGTCGGCCGTGCCGCCGCCCGCGTCGTCCGTATGGGCCAAGAGCGACGAGCCGTCCGTTGACGCGCCGTGCGTCACGCCAATGACCGTGCACGCGTCGGCCATCGCGGCGAGTGCGGCGAGAGCCGCCAGCATCTCGGTCCCTCGCATCGAATTGGAATGTGTCAACTTCAACCCCGATCTTGGCCTATTTAATTACTTTAAACATTGTTTCATACAAACCCATAGTGTAATACATCAGCCTAGATATTAAAATGCAAACGCGAAATTCTATATTGATCTTTGTATGGCCCAGCGTGAAAAGCATGCCAGAAAAAAGAATTTGGCCCAAAACCTTTTACTTTCAATATATTTGCATAATGAATGCCTTCACCTCTGCAGTCCATATCTTAGACATCTGATAAACCTTTATCAATCGATATATTGTAGTCTTCGATACGAGTTGAAGTGGTCGCCAAAATGACCAAAGCTCCGAGCTTCGAAATCGCCGAGACGAGCAGTTCAACATGGGTACAGGCGCGGCTGGCAGCGATGGCGCCACCGCCACGTCACCCCTTGATGCCCCCTTCTAGCTCTCAGAGCGACGGCAATGGGGCTGAGGGTGAAAGGCTCTTGGTCCAGCCACTATCGCAGCTACTAACCAGGGTGTGAACGCGAGTAGCCGCGCGCCGTCGATATGCAGGAACCCGCGTACTACAGTAGGATCTAGTATTTGTATCGGTCTCTACAGCGTTGTGCTGGGTTGTATGTCAACTTGGATCTGCGCGGGCGACGTCACGTCGTCGTCGTCGCGCCTGCGCTGCGCAGCCTTGCGGAACGAGTCGCCGAGGCTGCCCGAGCGCACGCCAAAGGCCACGGTGCTGAGCACCGCGATCGTCGTCGCCTTGAGCTTGCGCCGCGCGTTGAACTGCCGCAGCTGGTTGAGTGCGTTGTCGAGCTGGACCGAGCCGACGTCGATGCCCGAGATCCACGGGTGGCGCAAGAGCTGGGCGGTCGTCGGGCGGTCCTTCGGGTCTTTGGTGAGCATTTTTGTGATGAGGTCCTTGGCTGCGTCCGAGACGTCGTCCCAGTACGGCTCGTGGAAGTGAAACACGCCCTCCTTGATCTGCGCAAAGAGCGCCGGCCGGTTCTCGTCGTGGAAGGGCGGGTACCCGCAGAGGAGGATGTACGTGATCACGCCGATGCTCCACACATCAACGCTGGCGCCGTACGGCTTGCCCATGAGCACTTCGGGCGCCACGTAGCCGGGCGTGCCGCACGCCGTCACGAGGCCCGCGCTGTCGACGGCAATGCGCTTTGCAAAACCAAAGTCGGCGAGCTTGAACGACGTGTGGTCGTCGCGGTTGACGAGCAAGATGTTTTCGGGCTACATCCCCTCTGAGCGACGCACGATGGAGAGATGTCTACCTTGAGGTCGCGATGGACAATGTTGGCGGCGTGGCAGTACGCCGTGACCTCGAGGAGGCTCTTGACCACGTCGCGGGCCTCGCGCTCCGTGTAGCACGTCTTCTCGACGATCCGGTCAAAGAGCTCGCCGCCCTCGACAAACTCGGTCACGAGCACAAAGAATTCGGGCTCGGCAAAGACTTGATGCAGCGCAATGATGTTGCGGTGGTGCATCTATACATCGATCGCCTGAGCGTTGCGCGTGCAACAACAAAGAAGCTACCTGCTTGAGCACCGAGACCTCGACAAGGAGCGCGTGGACGTCGTCGAGGCTGAGGTTGGCGCGGCGAATGCACTTGGCCGCGTACTTGGTGCGCGTCGCCTTCTCGATGGCCACGCGCACGGTCGAGTACGAGCCGCGGCCGATGACGCGCCCGAGCTCGTAAAAGTCCTTGGAGAGGCCGGCGTCAAAGATCGGCGACGCCGCAATGAGCTCGTCGATCGTCTTGCCCGTCGTCGTCGTCATCGCTGCCAATTCCTCTCTGCAATTGGATGCCATTGATGGAAAGGGGCCGAGATCCGGATACGCCGTCCGGACCGCCGGGTGTCCCAGCTCGCCACATTGGGAGAGAGCGCAACTCGTCGACGCGCCAGGGGAAGACTCGTGGGCAGCGACGAGTCAACCGAGATCAACGTAGTTGGTCGTCGCATACACACTGGCGGCAGGACGCATCCAACTACTACTACTCGAGGTTTAACCCATTTTACCGCCGATCCCATTTGGCATTTTGAAACCTTGCGCCAAGCAGGAATCGACACTCGCATGCACGCGATTCAGCAAGTCTCGAGCAGCCGACGTGACAGCTCTGGCTTTTTCGTTGCTTTGGGCTTGCTGTTGATGATGCACTGCGTGAAGGAGGTAGGCGGCAGTCGAGAACGCGCCAACTAAGAACTGATTGTACTTGTAGAGGTGTGCACATTGCAGGGCAGGGTTGTTGGCGTAGGAATGGGTAGGACAAACGATCTAGTTCGATAGAGGCATCCGTGGACAGAGTATGTCCACGTCGCTACTTGCCCGCCTTCACACCTCGACCGTGTACGAAGCTACAAATAAAGGAGCAACGAACGACTTAAACGCTCGGAACCCAAAACACTATCGTTATTTCACATATAAACTCTATTTCTCACGGACGATAATGCTAGTTTAACGACAGTGTACTAAACTTTTCCAGGATGTTGGCGCGGGTTTGGGCTTGGAGACTTTCTCCAAAGCTCTCGATCGAGCGCTCTTCTGGTGGCGACAGGAGCTCTGCAAACTCTTCTTGCCACGTCGTGAAGCACCCGCGGACCGATAGCGGGCCGTTGTACAGGACCATGCGCAGCCGCGACGTCGTGGGCCCGCGCCGCTCGAGCACCGCCCTATCCACGTTTTAGTACGTTATGGAAGCCGAATCCATAGAGATCCATACCAGATCATGGTCGGGATCCACGTTTCGTTGCGCGCTTGGCGTTCGTCGTGCGCAAAGCTGCCCATGACAAAGACGATGCGATCGGGCGTCGAGAACTCGCGGGAGATGTTGAAGTTGGCTTCGCCCGCCGACAGCACCATGCGCCGATACAGCAGCTTGGCGTCGATGGACGCCGTGATCTACAGAGTTGATATATGAGCCATTTACATCCACGTAAAAAGCAGGGGCGTACGTCCTGGTCGAGGTACTCCGAGTAGAACGGCAGCACTTCGCCCCGAAATATGGACCAGAGGCGGCCATTGACAGCCGCGTTTGCAGACTCGAGCGGCATGTTGTAGTCGATCTGGATGCGCGAGAGGAGGTCGAGCTGGTCCGGGCCGCAGTCGCGCGTGAGGCTTTTGACTTCGTTGCCCACGGGGGAGAAGGCCGCGTACTGCATCATGAGGTCCGTGTTGTGGTACAAGTGCTGCGAGAACCAGTCCATGCCGAGGCGCCGCGCCGCGGGGTCGGCCGCCAGAGTCGCATCGAGGAAGGCAAAGTGGCGCGCAGGCATCTACATGAGGCGATCGCACCAGATGTGAGCCAAGGCGACGGTACCGTGAGGTTGTCGCGCCGGCTGAGCGTCGTGGCCATCGAGAGCGCGCCAACAAACGTCTTTTGGAGCTTGGCGTGCTGCTTCTGGAGCGTCTCGAGCGTCGTCATGGCCTCAAGACGGGCGTCGCTAAGGGCCGTCGCAACGTCCTGCCACGACAAGGCTGAGCTCTCGTCCGACTCGTCGACCGTGGCCCGGGGCGCGCCAGAGCGCTTTGCGAGGACGAGGCTCAGCTCCTCGATCTGCTGCTCGAGGATCTGCCGCTCCGAGACGTAGCGCGCCTTGTGGCGGCGCTGCTTCATGCGGTTGCGCAGGCGCTGGTGCTCGAGGCGCCGGTCCACGGTAGGGTCCACCACGGTCTCGGCCGCCATTGCTCGTTTGGCAATCGTCTTTCTGGCCAAATGGATTTTATTGGCTGAAATACCCCGTTTAGACCCAATCACATCCGACGTGGGTGATAGCTTAGCGCCCAAACGACTTTTGCTTGTCATCACAAGCGTATGTCGCTCGCAACACACTACTAGTACGTGCAGATGCTTCCTCGGTCTCCTACGCACAAGACTCTGCCAGGCGCGCCCACTTTGGTTGCCGAGAGTCTACGATTGCACTTGGCCCGGTTTGTTGAAGTCATGGCGGTCGTCTGGTGAACCAAGAGCGTGACAGCCACAATTTGGCAGCAACGTCCTTGAGTAGAGCAAGCTGACTCGCGCACGAGTCCCGGCAGAAGCGGCCGGCGGTGAATGCAACTCACATAGGCGCCTCAGCGTTGGCTTAAATGCGTTCGTGCAAGAGCGTGGCTATGTGTCACGTGATGACGGTCAAACGAGTCCGCGGGTCAGCACTTGCCGTGACCAACGTCCTTTGGTATTCACTCGAGTTGGGACTCGAATCTCAGGCGTCACGACCTGCGCTCGGCTATAACGAAGGAATCATGCGAGACGCTCTGTGCGTAATGAGCGAGCATCTCTCTTCGCTCTGTCTGTCTCTGATCGACGTTGTGTCTCGACGACCAACGCCACCACAACTCCGACCGCATACAAGCCCGCTGGAGCTCTTGGCACAAGGGCTGAAGCAGAGCAACATCGACCCTACGCAAGCCAGCTGAAGGCGCTTACGACGCAGATCTGATTGCTTTCTTGTTGACGACCACACAGTGGCGCCGCGGTGGAATCTCGTGCAGAGGAATAGGAGTAATACGGGCCGCAAATTGCTCACGCGTTGTCGCCCACGGCAACTGCAAGCCGCCAGTCGCTCCCTTGCGTCTCTATGAGGCGAGTCTGCCCTTAGCGGTCGGAAATATTGGTCGCCGCGCTTGAGGTTGTCTCTTCAACCTGCAGCTTCTGTGCAGTCGCTGGAGTGCATACTCATATCAAGTGTCGTCGCACTGACAGAGTTGTGTAATGCGGGCTGACGCTTTGCGGTCGTTTACGATTTCGTCATCGGTCTATAACGCGTTTTATTGGAGTTTAAACAGATGGCGCACGGCACCACTGGATTACGTTGCCGCTGCATTCCGTGGTCCGTGTATTGCCATCGCAGCTCAGGTGCGCGGGATTGATTATGACTCGGAATGATTCGGAGATGGCGCATCAAGGCCCATGTACTGTACGAAGGGATAGCGCAGGGTTCACATCCTAGTGCGCACAGCGAGAGTCCTGTCTGTTCGAGGTCGTCGTGCTTTGGGCCGAGTGGCCGTCCCATCACTCCAAACATGCATTGCCCACAAGCACTCATGCCCGTCTTGATCCGTCTCCCGCGTCATGTAATCGACGCGGCTGTGTCATATAAAAAACGCGTTGGTGGTCGTAAAAACGCGCTAAACACATGGGACTGAAATCGATCCTTTGTCCCATGTTGCGTCAACGCCGCCGCACAATAATGTCCTGCGACGCGGGTCACGACGCTCAGTTTTCAATTTATTTCCTCGTCTGCATGACCACACCGGCCTTTGTGATCCCGACGCCGCCACCGAGCCCGCCGATGCTCGACTACACCCGGCACAGCAACCCCGACGTTGACCGCGACGTCGACGGCGACGAGTGGCGAAGCCTGTCGCCCACCAACGACGCGAGCGAGTCGGGCAAAGAAGGTGACACTGACGACGACAACTCGACAGCACTCGCGCCGGGCGCACCCATCCACATCTTCTCGATGCCGGCCATCGCCCTCTATCTGCAGATGATCGCGGTATCTTGCTTGCAGAACCTCCTGCCGCCGCTCAAGATCTACCTCTTCACGGCCTACCTCCACGGGTCGACCACACATGTGTGGCAGCTCACCGCGCTCGAGAACATTGCGTGGACCTTCCGCGTCTTCTTTGCGATTCTCTCGGACG